AATTATATTTATATTATGATAATAGTTCAGGATGAAGTCTTTATTGGATATATTGTTGCGTAAATGTTAATGAATTAATATCAAATGAAAGAAAAAATAAATATAAAAGTTCATTTTTCTTGGCATTATTTAATGATATGTATTATGAAATTTTTTTTTGCACAATATAATAGAAATTACAAATATATATATATATATATATTAATTAAAGATCGACTTTAAGATGGAATTTAGGACAATTCAATATATAATAATTATTGATTATAATATATAATTTTATTTGAATTGAAATAAAAAATTGTTTGAAATTTATTGCTACGATACTTATATTTAAGATGAATTAATATGAAATTAATAATCTAATGATTGAATTTATAAAAAATTTCCAATTTTATTTTAAAAGTTAGAAATTATACTAATGTAATTAATATAATATTTAATGTTAATGAACAAACATTGTAAATGTTTTTATTATAATAAAACACTATTTAATTTTACAAAAACATATAGTAAATCATATTATTAACAATGATATTTAGAAAAATATTAAATTGTGTTCAAAAATTTAGCATTACCATTCAATAATATTAAATTTTAATTTTTATATATTCTTTACTTAAAATAATGAATTATTTTCTTTAAATATTATTAATGAATATTCCTTATTAAGAATTTTAATTTAAAAATCAGCGATATATAACATGTCGATTAATAAATGAAATTATGTTCCCATGATCATTTTAATAAAAAATACATTTCTTTTAGATACTTATTTATTATAATAAATTTTCTTCGCTGTAAATTATCACCATAAGTTTTTCACTTTTATGTTTTTCACTAATAAATTAAACATAATTTGAATTAATTTTTGTATTACAAGTTTATAATAAAACTTTTAGAAAATTATAATATAAATATATTTCCTCATTTATGAAACACGTTTGCGAGTAAGTGATAATAATAAATTAATTACTTTTCAATATAACATTTTCAGCCTCTGTACATGCACGAAAGCATATCTATTTTATACTTTTTATACTTGCATATTTACTTATATAAAAAAAAATAATGCAATAATAATTTTCAAGATAAAAATATTTTTCATAAATTCATTTTCTAAAAGAATTTTAATAATATATGTACTGTTTATGTTTCAGAACCTTTTTTAGTTTTTAATACAAAACCGATTATAATGATTAGCCGTTAAGAAAAGCTTAATTAAGTGCTTTGTTTTGGATAAATAAATCATTTGATTATATTTAAAGAAAATTAAATTTTTTTTATAAATAATGTTAAGATAATTCCAAATATTGAATCATAGATCAGATTTAAAGAAAAGTGAATAAGTAAAGTGGTGCCAAGGAATTCAAATTGTATCGATCATGGCATAAAATTTCGTTGCTGTATGATAATGTTATAATAGCTATGTTTCATGAAACATAATGTCGTGATACTTTTAAAATTATCACATCATGTTACTGACACTTTGCATAAGTTTCTGTAATGTAATTATTATTTACAAACTAATTAAAGCAAAAATTTCTTACAAATAATCAAGATTCTAATATGAAAGCATTGCCTAAATACTGAAAAATAACATGCATTTTATTAATTAAAATGGCATACGGTTAGTTTCATCATACGTAATTAATTTAACATAAGCATGAATATTTTCAAACAAATTTTTTAATAACATTACATATTTTAGACGATTTTATTAAATAATATCGAATTTTATTATGCAATTCCGTATATCATACGTATATTTTTGTATTTGCCATAATTATTTTATTCAATTTCCATTTAATGGAATTCTATTATTTCATATTTTATATTTATATTTGAACATAGTGCTACAAATCAAATAAAAAGAACTCGTAAAATATGAAAAATAAAAATGAAACTTTGAAAACCAAGTGACTGAATCGTAAATCACCCTGGATTTACTTTTTATTATACTTCTTTCTATTATACTACATTTTTATTATAAAAACCATATTTATCGTAGTCGATATTAAATAAAATAAGAAATTAATGTAAAAGAAAAATTTTTTCGAAATCTTTTTATACTTTTATGAAAAATATATCTATTCGACTTACAGCATTTATTAAATATTAAGTGATACTACATATAATATAAAACCGATTGATTCTATACAAATACTACTTAGTTCAAATAGAGCTCAATTTCAAAAAGAATACAATTTCCAACCTCTTCAAGAAATCAAGAGCTGAAAAAAATAATATCAACGTTCTATGCTGTCTCCCTTTATTTTTCTTTCATCATAATATTTATATATACACTTAATCGATTTTCTTGTACGCCATTTTCTATTATTTTGAATTTCCTATTTTTTTTTCGTTGTGCAAAACTTCGTCATAACAAAACCAAAACTGTGTAATAATGGAGTAGAGTAATAAAGACAAAGAGTGAGAGAGAGAGAGAGAGAGAGAGAGAGAGAGAATTGAATTGGGATTCAAATAGGAGAAAAACAGAAATTCTCAAAGTTATTGGAAAATATAAAATGGAAATTAATCTATTCTTTTTGTCGTAGCTCATTCTCTTTGTTGAACATGAAAGATTGTTTATGTCACTATTATTGAATAAATATGAAAAATCTAAAGAGTCCGCAATATATATTGGATTATATTTAAAACAGTAAATCTAGTGAAATAAATTAAAAAGTATACAAAAGAATAGATATGAAAATGCGGAGGACAAGAAATAAATAGATATGCATGTTAATTAATAAAATAATCTGCAAAATATCTTATAGAAAATTCTAATGGAGCATCTAAATTATAACAATTTTTTTTTCTTCTATAAATATATCGAATAATATATTGAAGTGAGGAATAAATATTTAATATTTATACTTTCGTTGCTCTTTATATTACAAAAAATTATGGTGGCACCAAATTATGGGTATTTAAAGACAATGGGAAATCACAGCCTTTGCGTATACGAAGTAATCTAACTGCCTCGAATAGATTAAGATCACCATAACTGATATTGATTTCATCGCGTTAATATATTATCAGTTTGAACTTTATTAGTTATCCAGTTGATTTTTAATATCTATTTGGGCTTTTTGGGTGCATAATAATTTCTTTGCGTATGCAATGTAACGAAAACAAATAAAAAAAATGATTCTAAAGTCTTATTCTAATTGAATACTTTTATTAGATTTTGACTGAAATTTCATATTTATATGTATTTTTTAACTGATTTATTACAATTGTATGGGCAAATAAAATATCGATTGCGTAAGTGAAAACTACGTAAAAATTAATGTGTAATGTGCGAGGTAATTAATTCAAATCATTAAAAAAATTGATTACTAGATAATACATTTCTTATAAACGTTTTTTCAGAGATAAAATAAATTAAAAATACAACAAATTTTAAATCTAAATAATAATAATTCTAAATCATTGATTCGTTGAATTCATTCAAATTTACTCATTCTCCATATTTATATATTCGTAAATATTTTATCGAATTAATTAATATTATTATCAAACATATAAATATTGCACATTACAATATAGTTTATTCCTATTACTTAATTTCGTTTATTATATTTTTAATTACATCTTGAACATAAAATTTCGATACTCTTTTAGAAAATAGAAATGAAAATGAAAATGAAATGTATAAAAGAACTATGAATAGAAGTACGTCTGGTAATGTTCGTAGTAAAGTAATGAAAGCCTTAGCATTAGTTTGACTTGACAAAGCTCATTAATTACAATGTTCTTAACGTTCTGTATCATGAGCTTGTCCGAACATTTCTCTACTTCAAGATCGTGAGTTCTTATCTGTACTAAGAAGTAGGGATTATGTCTACATAAAACGAAAACTTTTATAAAGTAGTAATGGGACATGCGTACTCTGCAACAACTTTCTAAATATTGTTAGAAATTCGTGAAAAAATTTATATAAAGGGCATGTAATATAAAACGTGTTTGCTATTTATATATAATTGTACATAAGCAATTTATTATTGGTTTTATAAAAGAAGCACAAATATGAAATTCAAGTGACTTAAATTTAGAAATTTTTATTCTATATCAGTGCTTTTGGTAATATATACCAAAATACCTAGAAATAAATATTAATATTATCGATCATGTCAATCAAATCCCTGTTCTTGTGTAAAAAAAAAATCACTTTCTTTTTCATATTAATATATCAATATGTAATATTATGTAATTCTGCATTAAGTAATTAAAATTATCTATTTAACTTCGCTATATACTTTTGTAATTAATATGAATTGTTGAATTCAGAGCGAAAGAGCGAAAAATCTCATAGAGACACATTTTGGTAATGGCAATAATTCTTTTACTTCTCAGTCTATATTTCTTTTTAAAATAAGAAAATTTATTGCTTTCATAAATTTCAAATACTTTTTGTTTACGGTTTCCCAAATTAAAATAAAAACTTTTATTTTTTAAAATGTAACAAATTGAAATTAATTTGAAACGTAAAATAGAAATATTCATATGTACTACTTGTGCAATGATAAAGTTACATAGATAAAACTCCCATCAAAGTTTGAAACTACGAATATTGTTGGAGAAAAAAAAATACATCTTTTCAATAAAAGCATCATGTACAAAATGAGTTATCTGGATAATTTTCTTTTTTTTTTTTTTTACAAAGTATATTTGCATAAAGTATAAAAGCAGTTTTGAAAAATTAACTGTATTAAAATGTCCAATGCTCATGTTCGAATAAAGTTTATCTTATTAAAACGCCAATTAATATATAATTAATACATTGGAGGTGGCCTTTTGACAAAATTTAACTTAAATGTAGAAAATTGATGTATTAATTATTAAACAAAAAATGAAAAAATACAACCTAATGAATGCTTATAAAAATATTTATACGAATAGTAAACAAGTGTCTTGATGGCTACCGCCAATCTTACATGATCGATATAATAATTTCAATGCATATTTTGGAACAAAAATTGAATTGTCATACATACCACTAATAGGTTGAAACCTCGCCAAAGGGTCAGAGAATTGACGTAGTCTGTCGGTTACGTACTTTGTAGAATCTACATTCTGCAAAATGTAAAATAATTTTCTTTTTTAAATAATAAATTAATACTAAAAGAATTAGAAATAAATTACATCATTAGTTGTTGATAAACTAAATACTTTAGTAATATAATTATTGAATATCTATCGCACATTCATTTTATTCATACATCTATGGATTAAAGAATACTAATTCTGGAGATTAAAAAACGTTGATTCTAATATGTCAAAATCTTTTTATAGATTTACATGTCTTTATTTGCTAAAATATTTTATAAATAGATATATTAAGTAACTGATAAAAAGTTTCTTAAAATCATTAACAAGATTTTTCAATATAAAAATTATGTGAACTCGCTATATATGTTTCATTATATATTCGTATTTATCATTACTTTATTCATTATTACATTTATTTCAATAATTGAGATCCTATTCTTCATAAAGAAGAGTATTTTTTTTTTTGTATTTTTAAAAAAAATATTACAATTTCCGTGATTCATTATCTTTTAACATCTAAGATTCTAAAACAATCAATTATCTGATGCTTTCAATTTTCAAAAAAATTCATCTATTACATCTTAAATTTATGTACCAATTCTGTATATAATTTATTCCTTTATTAAGTATGATTTATTCCTTTATTATTTATGATTTCTCAATACTTTTTAAATTATAAATATATAAAGAATCTTATTTCATTGACCACTTATGAAAAATTGTTGAAACTTGCATCCATTCATCTTGAATTGACATATTAAAGTAAATAATATTAATATTAAATAATAATATTAAAGTAAATAAATACAAATTCTAGTTAAAAATATTATTACATCCATTAATAAATTATATAAATTGTTCACGTAATGAAAATCTGCAGGTTTTTACAAAGCTTTGATTATACTTTTTTCAACGATTTTAATTTGAATGTTGATTTTGTATTTATTTAATCTAAAAAAGTAGTTTATACATTAAAGGAGACAATCTTCGTTTTAACTATAAATTTTTATTTATAACCAAAACTTTATTTTTTCCAATAATGATTATACTGTTAAAATTAAATTTTTATTTGAACTAGGATACTGATTTACTATGTTCAGGAGAATTTAAGATATATTAACATACATTTATATATATATATATATATATATATATATATATAGAGAGAGAGAGAGAGAGAGAGAGAGAGACAGACAGACAGAGTATAAAATCTATTTCGGATCTAACATTAATTCCATGTTTTATTATGTTAGTGTTGTTATAATAATATTACTTTAGAATTAAATATTTTAATTAAAAAGAACTTTATTTTCTTTTCATTATATTATGTGTTATCAAGTTGCATTATCAATGCATATGTAGTATACATGAGCCGGATTCAACTTGAGCACTTATTTTCTAATTGCTATTGCAAGTGGGTGTACAAATGATGGGGATATGATGTAGAGTGGAACATAGATGTTACGTGTGTGAAGATATATGTAGTATTATGTGTTAGACAACCTTATGTTTTCATGTTCTACATTGTCTAGATGATTTAGGTATCAAATTTAATGTTCAATAAATGGGATAAATTATTTATTATTGTATTATTTGTTAAATTTATTTCCTCGTGTTATTTTATTTTGCAATTATTAATGTTAGTATTTAATTTTATACAAATTTTGTAATACCAATGTAGCAATAGTATTTTAATTTAGACAATATAAATTGTTGAATGTACGGATCTTTCTTAATATTCATTAATAAATTATAAGTGTTAAATATTGCATAATTAATTGTCATTAGACTCAGTAATATTTATGAAAATAACGATTATTAATGTTCATTCTATTTAGTATTATTTTTTAAATAATTTCAATTATTGAATCTACATGTTATAAGTTTCATTTAACACTCAAAAATTATAATTTACTTGGATGTAATCGATTACTTAAAATATTTCTTACAAAAAAAAAGAACAACATTTAACTATATTCTCATGAATAAAAAACTCTTTTTCATTTTGCAGATTAACTTACCATGCCATGAAATCTTCTAAATAAGTAATCAAATAAATTAGTGACTATTTCAATTTATAAATTGAATATAAAATATTTTAAAATATTAGTTACTCAACTGAATTTTTAACTTATATACTCATAAATGATAAATATATGTATTTACTTTGAAAATTTCGAAGTAATCGTCATCCCAAACTGTACACACGTGTCTTTTTTACCTTATTAAAATCTTTCCTGTTGGGCCGATAATTTAGTACTGCGAAGGTCCATTCGTGTACATTTTTTTCTGCATAACGTATTTTTTTTAACTATTTTTTACTATTCAAAGGCATTTAAAAATTGCCCATACAATGATAGGATTATTTATAATTATAAATAGTATTTTTAACATTTATAACCAAAAAAAAAAAATATAACTCTTCAGCTATTAATTATAATTATGAAGGGAGTCCTTCTGAAGATGATCTGCAAACTTCCCATGAAACTCATTTGCTTTCCTTATATAATCATATAGTACAATTCATTATACAATCAATAATGTACATTATAGTACTCAGATACAATAAATTCACATTATATTATCTTGTTTATGAGAAATAGTGAAATATATATTTATATAATAATAATTCATAAGTAAAACTTTGGATTATTTATTATCACGAGTAGACTCGATTTTCATTGATTAGTGAATGAAAAAGGAGTAATACAAATTATTAAAGATAATATAGGTAAAAATAATATTATTAGGAAAAAATATTAAATTAAACAACAATAATAATAAAATATTTTTAATCAAATGGTTGTTTAAATAGAATATACAATAAATATTTCGCATGTGTGAAAGCAGTATTGCTATATACAGAATTTGACATTTGTAAAATAATTTTTTTTTATCTACATTGTCAGAAAGAAAGTCTTTTCTCAAACATACTTTTGTAAGTGCATCAAGAAATTTTTAAATCGATTGGATATGCCTAATCTTTAAAATATGTTTCTTTTTATTATTTTAGCTTTCAAAACTTTTAGATGGAAGCTTAGATGACTTCAAAAAGTTTCATAACATACTAAACGTATATTTTATATTCTAAATCGTAATGGATCTAAAGTAATCCGTGTTTATCAATAAATAATTTATGTTACGAAATTTTTAGATAAAAAATTTTACTTTTAATTTAAGACTTATGTTATTTTGTTTAGCTATGCATTTTGAAAATGAAATGTAAAGAGAAATTGCAATTAACATCTTAAAAATCTATATTTTGAGTGATGGCAATAAAATTTATATTAAATCTGCAATTTAATAACTTATTTTAACCAAACTGCATTTAATAAGTCTGATAAAGAATGAAAGTTTACATAAATTTATACAAAATACATATTATCTGAAAATTACTGGCTGCTAAAATAAATAGTTTTAAAAAATATTTTCCTTTTAGTTCGCCAATTCCTTATTTTATCGCATTCCACTGATTTTTTTTTTTTTTTTTTTCTATTAATAAAATGATGTCTACTATTTATAGAACTTTGGTTTCGAGATTTTCTATATCACATTTCATTCTGACATTTTTAACAAGATATTTTAATTTTATCTTAATCATTGTTATTTTATAATACACATTGAATAAAAATAAACATTTGTTAAAAATTGAACTTTAAAAGAGTGCATTTCATGATAACAATATCAGTCGTCATTACAACTTTGTCATTAATTTATTCTTAATAATATATAAAAATAAGCATAATAGTCGATAAATAGATAATAATCCATGAAAATAGCAAATACTATATTAGTTCTTTTATACGATAAAAAAATAAAAATACATGATAGTTTTTTGGATATAAATAATCCTGCATCTGCACAAAGAATATAAGAGTTACTTAGTTTTCTTTTAGTTTTGTTTATATAAATATTCTTTGGACTTGTGCTCATATATTTGACTAAAAATAACACAAACAAGCTTAATTGATGTGGTAAAATATTGTACCGCATTACTATTACTTTCTGAACCTCGAATTCTACAAGAGAATTACGACTGTAAAGATTAATTGAGATAAAAAAACTTATACGTGTTTTTCTTTCTTTCTTTTATTTACATATTTAAATAGATTCAATAAGTTTATTCGTTAAGGTTCTTACTGTGTTTTATGTAAGAAAAAACTAGATAAAATTAGAAAGTTAGCAATAAATAAATACTTGATTAGATATAATAAAGGTATCATATTGTTGATACCGAAATTAATTATACCCGCTATCTCTAACTTATACAAATGTACTGTTTTCACATTCCTAATAACCACAGAAGTCAATTTAAATAATAACTCTCTCACATCAATAATGAATAGTAATAATACGACGTCGTAACGGTGTACAATTTCACGTTACTTTATTTATCATACCATTCATTTACCATTTACCATTTACCATTCAATAATTCTGAATAAATTCGTACGATAATATTATTACTTCTTTACTTATAATAAGCTTTCTTAATATTATTATCGAATAACACAAATGGCTTTGAGGATAATTAGAAGAAATAGATTACATATTCATATAATAAAGCATAGAATTAATTAATATAATATGTGTGTAAGAGAAAAGGTTGAACGTGAATGATATATGTGTATTTTATATGTGCTTATAAAAATCATATACATATTTATGGTTACATCTTGATTTCTCCGTTCGAATGACAAAAAAATTTGGACGTAACATTAGAGAGAGAGAAAATGTACGGTAGCAGTTTTTTTGTTCAGGGTTCAAGAATTTAAGAAAGGTTCAATCATAATGAGTGCTTTTATATAAAATCACTACAAGCTATTGACTTAAATTTCATTAATTAAGTAATTAAAAAATAATTATACGAATGGAAATATTCTATATCCAATTTCAAATAATTCATATTCACTATTGTAAAAACTCTTTTTAATTTCATTTTATTATTTTAAATGTATGTATGTAGAAGTGTTGAAAACGAGTTCGTGTGCATGCATGCAGGTGTGTACGAGTGCACAAGTTTGCAAATTGCTTACCATACTTTCCATTGATGTTCGTTTCTGCGGTCCTGATACTCTATTTCCCTGCAGCAGAGCTTCGAGGCTTTCAATATACTCAATCGCGTTACGTAGGATTTCGACTTTTGGTAAGCGCTGATTCGGATTATCACTCGTTCGTCTCTTCAGAACCTCGAATGCCTCGTTCACCTTTAAATATATCGAATAATAGCATCAATTCCACAAGTTTTTATTTCTGGTAAATATTATTTAGTAATATTATAACTAAAAGATGAGCATTCAATGTGAAATGACAAAATAAACATAATGTATTTCCATTCGATATTCACTTTAATTTTTAATTTTAAGCACATGGCATAATACTACAAATGCGTCGATCAACTGGCAATTATGTGAAAAAAAAAAAAAAACAAAAACAACATTTTTCTAACAAGTAAAAAAATGACGTTTGACGTATATAAAATCTACCTTGCGTAGACGTCGTCTCTCCCTGAGCGTAGCGGCCTTTCTCCGGTCCACGGTAATAGTTTTCTTTTTACAAGCTTTGCATGCCCAGAGTAAACATGCTCGCTGCCCGTGATGTCCGCTGGTCGCCATCGCCCGTTTATCCAGAACATGACCTGGATGGGGTACGTGATGTTCATCGCTCACGTTCACGATACTCGCACTTGGTGACTCGAGGCTGCTACTCGTAGCCGATGCGTCGGCCGACAATACCGACGATTCGTCATCATCGTCTTCGATATCCGAATCCGTTTGATAATTCATCTCCGGACTGTATATAAGTAATTATTGGTCGCTGGACCGTGAGTTTCGGCACAGATGCAAATTAAATATAAACTCTTTCAAAATGTCAAAGTATTTCGGAAAAGTCGATGAATTCGCTCGATTTACGGAGTTGCCTTGTCAAATTTTATAAATTTTTGTTAAGATATATTTTCATTTTTGGCCAATCATCTTTTGTGCGACGAAATTTTTAATTTACATAATAAAGCCTGATCGTTTAATTTTCAGTAATGTAAGTGCTCAAAGTTCTTTACACCTGTCGCGAGATATAAATTAAGACTTTTAAAACAAGACAAATTAAAAAGCGTAGATATTAAGCTCGCGAGAACCATGCACATTTATTATACAATATAATTATATAAAGTTAAATAAATTAATTTATCAAACTTATAAATATAAATTGAATTTACGTCTCTATATTTCGTCATATTTATTCATTAATTAAACGGATTAATAGTTTATCTATTAATCATGACAGACTCTATAGTGATTCAAATACAAATTCAACTTGGCTTAGAAGGGAAATTGCATACAAAAGCAGAGTTCTACGTTCATCTTGGGATTTAGGCAATACGAATTATAGCGTAGAAGAATAAAAATTTTCCATTTGTAAACATAGGGCATTAATAAAGTATATGTTATGTTACAATAATGTGATAATACTAACAGTTATAATTAATAATTCATACTAGATGTTTACTATTAAATAGTTCAAATGGAAACTTAACGAATAGCTGAAATGTGTTAGTATCATATAATAAATTAATATAATATTACTGTTAAATTAAATATCAATGATTTTATATTATTTATATTGACTAACTTAGCTACTACTGACTAACTACCTTAGCTGAAAGGCTATTTAATCAAGAAATCGATTCGATTTCATTAATTGACATTTTTCACTTTGCGATTAGATGAATCTTAGCTTTTCCACTTTAATTTAATACAGTCCTGTTTTTTAAAATATTTGTTATTACGATGATTCATCATGTTAAACTTAAAAAAATTATCTTACAATCAAATTCTATTGATTATTGAATTATATAGAAAAACAATGTAGGGCTATTAATACTAGAATTGCACAATTTACCTAAAAATCCATTAAAAAATAAAGCGCATGAAAATCAAAAAACAAAAATTCAAATCGTTCAAATCTATCTGAAATTTTCATCTAACTTCTTATACTTTTTACACAAAAGATTTTGCCCTCAACATCAACGTTAATCTTAATCACTCGCAGCAGTGTATTATCATACTTCTAAGGAATTCTTAATATTGGAAGATTTGAGCGAGGTAGTACTAACCCAAGGCGATCTGTTCTGTACTGCATAATCAAATCGTCATTGCTTCTATTGAATTCCAAGCCTTTGGAGATGCTCGTCATGTTGGACCTGTAAGGCGACTTGGACAATCTAACAAGGTAATCCGCGTCTATTGTAGCTTCGGTGCTGGTAGGCGCCGCTTCTACAAGATTTTGGTCTGTGGTTTGAGAATCTGGATGACGTCGATATCGCATCCGCTGCTATATGCACGGATTGTTGTAAAAATAACAAATTAATTTAAATCAGAGAATATTGAGGTGCGACGACAAGTAATTTTTCATGTTCACGAGAAGACATTTTTTTTCCCCCTTATAGGCATTCCAAGTGCAGCACTATTTTATCCTTATAACGATTACATTATATTGTACAATGATCCCGACTTTTCACTATTTCTTAATATTAATAAAATAGGTAATTACTTTGTGCATTTCGAAGTAAGACTTTCTTTAATTACATTTAGTAATAGATAAAATATATTAAACAAAGCATTGCTTTTGTTATGGATATTTCCAATATTTATCTTAATTTCGTATTAAATTATTATCTAAAAAAATTAAATAAAAAACATTTATTATATTTATGTCTATGGAAATAGATGTTTTAATGAAAAATTTTTAATATCTCACAGAAAAATGTATATTCTTCTGCAAATTTAATATGTAATTATTACAGTTGAATATATAATGAATTTTATTTAATAATTACAATGAATTTATTTTATAGCAAACAATCAAATTTCTTCTCCAAAGTTGAATTAATATTTTGAAAGTAACACAACCTCTTAGAATATATATTGTTTTATTGAATAAAATACGAAATTTAAAATAATCAGAGTAAAGTGAAATGAAAATATTAACACTAATACAAGATCGAATAAATACTTGAAATGCTAATTTACTTAATACATTTAATCTATTTATTTTAATTATTAATTTGTTTAGCAACTTCTATATTAAATTAGCTTACATATAATGAATTTATATTTTTTATATATAAAAAAGGCTATATAATTCCTTTAGATTTGTTCAATCGTTTGAAGTCTTTAACTTGGATTTTTGTTGAAGAATAAATTTTTACTTTTAAATTGAAAAAGAAATTATATTAAATTAAAACAAAACTATAAAATGACATCAAAACTATGAAATACATAAAGTTTGAATTATAAATAAAATATTAGATTGGACGTATGTGCTGATATTATTTTTTTCCAACGTTTTAAAATAATTTGACTAACATTTATTGTAAATATTATCATCTATTTAATTATATTAAAAATTTAGTGTTTTTACTACAAGTGTTTTTACTTTAGAGTGCAGAGAGTATGCTTTCATTAGTCTAAAAATGTCTTTATTTGTGTAATTCTACGATTGAATCTTTTATGTATAATTTTGTGATACTATTTGTATTAAGATTTTTAATTTTTATTGACAAACTCATGGAATTTACGATATAAACAATCGAAAGAAAATTATCATTATCATTAATATTATTAATAATATATTTGTAAATAGTTTTAATAAATCGTATAAATTTATTTTGGAAACAAGGTATATAGATATAAATTCATAATTATATCGAAAGTTTATAGAATTTTATAATCCTATTAATATAAATATATGCACGCGTAATTTACAAAAAAGTTTCATTTACCCATTAAATAAATATTTAATAAATATTTATGAAACAAATACTTAAATATTAATAAATATTGTGGGATAAACTAGAATGAAAGTATATTTAATTTCAATAGTATTACTATATCACCAATATAAATGAAAATATTTTCCATGTAAAATAGTTCAAGAAAATTTTACAGAATATTTAAAACATAATATACGTAATACGAAAAATTTATAATTCAAACTCTCTTTTCAATTTTAACAGATTTTTTATGTTAGTAATTATAAACTAAACAACGTATTGTGTCATAATAGAAATGAGTTATCATTGTTTCATCAGGAATTATCTAGTCGTATCATTATATAAATATATCTTGTCATTTTACATGTACGTATATATAGTGAAGTTAATTTAATAAGATTAGCAATAAAAATTTTTTTATATTACAAATTTTACTGAAAACAATATTTGTAGTTATATTAAACTTATAAGAATATTAAATTACATCGCAGATGTGAAATTATGCATTAATAAAATGCATTTATGCCAAAAATTATGGTCCCGGATAATAATATTTTTGTCTTTGTTGTCCTTCTAAACAATAAACTCGTTTACATTATGAACACGTAATATATTGAAAAGTTTCTGCGGAAAACTAACAGCGTGCTGTTGTTGATGGTATCGAAACCGTGACATTCGTACAGAAATCCGCTGGTTATCCTGATGATATAAATTATTATCGAGGTGTTCGTGCTGATAATGCTGTTGATGCTGATAAATTTGATCTGGATGTATAGATCGAGCTAAGGACTCGTATTGCAAATAGGTCCCGATCTCTGACATCAGAGTCATCATTTCCACTTTACCGGGAAAATTCGAAATCGCCGCGCCTCACGCAACAACGCCGACGGTAAACTTTTGATTTTAAAAGAGTATTAAAGGTACTCGTGTTAGAAGTTTTAGCATTGATATTTTTCCATAAATGTTGCAGAATTCTTTTAATTGTTTAATCGTTACAAGTATTTAATTCGGTATTAGCATGTAGAATTATTAGATGACAATTATTTTTAAACTTTATTTCACTCGTATATACTTTATGAAGAGACAGTATATAACTTTTAAGCGCACTATAGATTTAATTATTTTTAACAAATAATTAATATGAGCAAACTAATATCCTAATAAGTTGTTTCGCCGAGAATTCGAAATAAATTCTTAAGTCTCATTTAAGAATAATAATTCTATGTAAACAAAATTTTTTAATTATTTTATACCTTGTTCATCATGTGTATTCATGAATTTGACAAATAAATTAACTGTGCCTATTATCGAATATTTTATTTCAATTCAATTAGTGTAAAGTAACATTCATTGTAATACGTATAGATGATTACAGATATAGTAATTACTGGGAACATTATTTAATTGAAAATAAGTTGTAAATACTAGCTAATGTAGAAAACGATAATCATGTTTCTATTGTAAATAAATGTTCATTCTAAATTCACTAAGTTAATTACTGAATGATATTTTTATGTTCTTTTAAATTAAATTAAGATGAAATTTATTTTAAATATCTTAATATTAATTTACTCAAAAAAACAAACAAAACAAAAAAACAAAAAAAAACTAATCATTTCGATTTTAAATCACAATCGGCACACAAAGAGTAAATAAATTTTTTCTTGTTGAACTAATTAAAATTTAACACCAACAATTATATTCACAGTTCACTGTCAACAGTGGCTATCGATCCTTATTTATCGTTATCAATCGTTCGATCAACTCAATCAACTGCAGCTAACTCGCGCGCGCGTCTTCGCAATCCTTCAAGTCGGAGGTTAGAGTGCCGAGTGAGGACGTATGTCCGCTTCTCTTTCCTCAGTTTATCTTCCTCTCCTTCTCTTACTCCGATTCTCTCTATCTCTATCTCTTTCGCAAACTATCTCACTTATTTTCACTCTCTCTCTCTCTCTCTCTCTCTCTCTCTCTCTCTCTCTCCATGTCTCCATGTGTATTCATCCGTCGCACTTCCCTCCTTCTCTAACGTGAAAGTCAAAGCATGTGTTTCGGATGAGTATTTCCTTTTTTTGTCATGCCTGACTTGTGTATGTGTGTGTGTGTGTGTGTGTGTTTTTTTGTACAAGAGCTTTCGGTGGTGGTCGTTGGTGGTGGGGATCCGTCGCGCTAGTTTTGTATGCCCGCCAAAGAACCAAAAGCAGACGAAGATAGAAAGTGTTATAGTAACAGAAATACTGATTCGCTGGACCCCTATCCACCCCTCATACGTTGCGTCGCGGTTGTTGCGCGCTCTCTCTCTCTCTCTCTCTCTCTCTCTCTCTCTCTCTCTCCTCCGTCTTTCCTCTTTCTATTTGTCTTGCTCCACCTTCTCGCTCGCTCACTTACCGTCTTTGATTTTCTTTCTCTCATTCTCGTTCTCTCTCAGTCTCTTACATACACAAGAAATTTCTCTCCTCACTTATTTACTCTTCCTCTCTTCCTTTCTCTATTTCTCTTCGAACGCGACATTTCTTGATACTTTAGGGTATAAATTGCAAGCAAAATTCTCAAATTAATTTTAGTACTATTCAATCATTTCTGTTACAGTATATCCAATTATTATATACGCAATAACTTTATACTAATTTATGAACTTTAAACTTCTTTTACATTACATGTACATTATTATTTATAATTGTTTCATCAATGGTAATTTTTTAAAACAATTTAAGTAAATGTTTACGATTAATAATATTTTCTCAATCAGAGAGGTTTATTCGTTTTATATTATATTCTGATAGAATAAATAAAAAATAATTAAATGGAAATAAGTAAATTGTATTTCAGTGAAATGTGAATAAACAAAACAAGTTTTCTTGAAATACAATACAACCGTATTACATATTTAAATATTGTAAAACAATTTTATGTAAGTTATAAGATATTATAATTATGTGTAGAAATTTTTCAATAAACTTTAATTCTATAGTATAACAGTATTAGCCTTTTTTTTTAAATACTTTTTCTTTACTTCCTTTTTTTTATTTTTCTAATTAATATTTTTTCTATATTAATTGTTAAGTAAAATTTCATACTTTATTATTTAATATAAAATGTTTGATAATTATAAAATAATCATTTTATGAAATTATATAACCGTTTCTATTATATTATTTTATTAAATGTTTTTGTGACAAGATATTAAATTTTTTTATATATTTATTATTGTATTTCTAATTAAGTTATATACATTTGGTCTATTTTGTTATTAAAATAAGAATGACGAATAGATGTAATTTAGGTGAGTTTTTAATTATCAATATAAATTTATAAATTAACAGAAAATAATATTATGAAAATTTTATTATTCTAGATCAAAAAAAAAATTTTTTTTATTTCGTGATTAATACGTATCTAATTCTTATGTAATACTTTCCCTTTTCATAAAATTATAAAGAACATTCTGGATAATAATATTAATCCACAAAATATTTTAAAGTATTACGGATATTATAATTTAATATTTATTTAAAAATCTCTCAATTTATAATTATTAGTATTTTCATCATAAAA